TCAATTTTCTATAATCAGTAATTTTGATTGTAGCTTTCTTCATGTTTCTATTTCCATATCGCCTCTCCAGAAGTCTGGAGACCAAAAAATTTTTTCCGCTTATGAAGAAGTTATTTATATTATTTCATGAAAGCCCTTCATATACAAATATATGGTATTTTATTAGATAATTTTGTAAGTTGAAAACGAGTTGCTGCTATTTCAGCAGATGTCTATTGGTGAAACATAGAGTTTGATAGTATGCAATTTTTGAGAAAGTTTCACGTTAGGATCCACTTGTTTTGTTACAAGGAGTGGAATATCATATAGTCAAGAAATAACCTAGACTTCATAATATAACTATCTTTAAATGTATAGCAAACAACGATGAAAACTATTGATTACAAAAAATTCAAGAGTACCATATCTATACTGAATTTAATACTATAGTATATATCTTTTCCAAGGATTATAACTAGTATCATTGGTCCTGAGAACATCAAAATTTATGAGAAAAAAAAAAAAACTTAATTTCTTAATATTATTCGATGCGCCGTAAATTGTTCTGCACAAAACCACACATATAGGATATCTTGGTTGAAGACAAATCACCGATTTCGGCGAGGTCCTTTATAGTTTTTCTTTTGAATGAATAGAATCAGCAAAAGTTGGTAATGTTGTTTATCAACGTCGTTTTCAAGTATTACTTGATTATTTATATAGTTCTCAACGTTGTTCACAAATATCTGAACTTATTCGTTTACATCTTCGTTCAAGACTTGTACTTAATACACTTTTTCTTACAGTTAATTTATTTGATCGTGCCATTTTAACTGGTCAATTACCACGTGAATGTTATTCAGATGGAAATCCTCATTTATTACTGACTTGTTTACTTATTGCTGGCAAATTCGAAGAAGTTGAAGTAAGTTTTAAACTGAATGAATAAAAATCGAACGAGATTTTATCATTTTGAAAAGTTTATTCCTTCTTTCTTTTATGTTCAACAGAATAACAGTATGAAAGATTTCTTGTTAATCAAAGACGAAATATTTGTTTATGTTATTCTTATGAAATGTAAAGCGATTAATATTCAATAAAGAATAACTTTTCAAGTAATAAGTTGTCAAATAATATTATAGTCGATCGATTAACTTTCTACTAGAATTTTGAATTGAATTTACAAGATCATAAATATTTTTATTGATTCATTCTTTTCGAATTTTCATATATTAACAACGACTATTCGTTTCGCATCATCCATCCGACAGAACATTAACTAAATGGTATATAAGCTGAGTTCATTATGCGAAGCACATCCTCAAACCTGACTCATCATTTATGAGGTTATAAAACTTTCATATTAGTCAAAATATCAAATTTAGCAAAAAAACACGTGTCTCGATATTTCATTAATCAGTTGTTAGAAAACAAGACAAGTGTTATGTTACTTGAAAATCAACAGATATTCTATCGAAAAACCTATAAAATCTGACGCACAAGAGTTCTTGACTATTTATCTGTTATCTAAGAATATAAAATTTTGAAACAACGTTTGAATAAAAATCACACGATTCTCGAATCTTTAGGTCATGCAGACACCGTATTGTGATTTCTAGTAATATGTCAAGAAATTAAAACTTCCAATCGTCGAATCTATAGTCCTTCACATTGTAATCAAAATTGATCTAACTTATTCAAATAAAAATTATTAAATTAAATAAATAAATAAATAAGTATTTTTATTCGAATTTTTCTTTTCTAGTGGCCAAGTATTAGTTCATTGATTGCTAATCGTGAACGATTAGAAGCACGTGATATCAAATCACTTGAAATTATTGTACTTCAATCACTTTCATTTGATATTGGTTTAACTGTATTAGATTTTGTTTATCGATATTGTGAAATATCACCAATGGATAAATCAAATGATGATCTTCGTCTTTTATTTTTTATTTTACAACTTTTATTGATTGATCCTCATACATTTATTGCACATAAATCATCTTATATAGCTGCTTGTTCATATGCACTTGTACGACACTTAAAACAATATGACGTGTAAAATTTTCAATTATATTTGCATTTTTATATTGATTTCAAGTTTTTGTTTTTGTTCTTATTAGTACATGGCCTCGTCGTTTAGCTCGTTCAACTGGTTATGATCCAGCTGAAATAGCATATGGTGTAACAAAAGTAGCTGCACAATGTTTACGTGCTTTATCATCATATGAACAACAAGAACCAATACATCGAGATTTAATGCATAAATATGCTAAAGGTCCAGCTGCACAATTAATTAAATATGAACAAGCATTGAATGATCTTATTCAGCCAGCATCAGATGAAAATCAATAACATTCAACAAATATTTTTTTTTTTATCATCACAGTTCAATTAATGAGTCTTTCACAAATGAAACCAAACTAATTAATTTTTTTTTTCTGTTCTTTTTTTCATGAACAAAATGTATATGAATATAGATAGCTAAGAAAACAAAACTACTGATTTTTCTTTTCTTTATGATTGTTCTTAGAGAAATGATAATATTCATAATTTAGCAAATTTATTTTGTGACAAAACAAAAAAAATCATCAATTCAAATTTTAATTGACATGATTTTTTTATTTAGATTTTTTGTATAGAAAACATTATTTGTGTATCATTTGTATATTTTTGAATAATTTTCTAAGTTTTTCTTTGATTAATCACATATGAATAATCATTTAAAAATTCTATTTAATCTACATATGAGATTTTCGAAAACTTTGATACGAAGCATTCCTAGGAGTGGTACAATATCAGTAATGGTATTTAGTAATCATTTTTCAAATTAATAGAGTAATATTCAAATAAGATAGTAGAGATACTTCTAATCATCGATTAGGTCTCAGACTAAGACATTATGACAACGTTAAATTTCATTTTTCCAACATAGATTAATCTTAATAATTGTGGATTATTGGTAAAAGAAATGTTAGGGGGGTGAATAGCGAAATCCTTTACGTTTCTAAAGTTTCTTCCATTTTCATAGAATTTCTCAGGATATCTAGTAAGATCCTAAGAGTCTATTGAGAGACACCATCTGCTTTACAATAGCTTTTCATGTTGGTGTTTCTTTGCTCTTTTTTGAATATGGGCGATGATGAAATAAAAATTCACATTGGCACTCTCATCCACCCTCATATTGTATATATCGTTTTTTTTATTACCATATTGCAATGACAACTTATTTTTCGTTATTAATAATTTCTTTTTATCAGTAATATATTTGTATTACTAATTTCTAGCAATGAGTAATATATTTTTTTAATTATCTATTATTAGCAATAAGAAATAAAAAATTATTATTTATAAAAACTAGTTCCTGATAACATAATATCGAACTCTTTCATATTTCTTTAATAAAAAAACAATAAAAGTTGTTGTATCATAAAAATAAAAAAAATAAAGCGAATGCTGATAAAAAGTGATAATTAGCACGAATGATAATTATTGTTATGAATTGTCAAATAATAGTTATGTAGCATTCATAAGTTACCTAGTTCGATTTGAAATATAAATGAAGTTCCAATAGTATTATTTCATTATGAAAATAAATAAAAACAATTTCGAACCAGTACTCAACTCTCAAGATAGTCAAAATTTTCATCTGAACTATAATTATTTTCCAGACAGAGTTTTTAGTGTGATAATTGATGTTTAAAAGCTTTCAATCAGGTCTTCAATAAATAAAATGTATGACCTTGAGTTTGCACTTGTATAGAAGTGCTTTTGGCTGTGTAACCAAGTTTCTATATTGATGTTATAGCGTCATCCGAAGAGCTGCGATCGACCAACGGCAATGCAAATGTTTCTATCGTGACCTACACAAGCTGATCTCTATAAGAATTACAATTGTCACAGAGATAAAAATTTAACTTATTTTTTAACTTTAACTAGGCTTCTACTTTAAGCATTATTATGTAAATGAGTGAGTTTAATTGTAAGAAATAAAGAATATCGAGTTTATAAAAAAAAAAAAAACGTTACAAGTCTGTTTACATGATAGAAGTAACCAAGCATTACAAATAAACATCATGTAGCAAGAAAGGTAATATATCATTAATTATCAGCATGTCTATTATTTATGACTAATCCTCATCAAAAAATAATTAAGTATAAAATAGTATGCTATGCATCTTGTCAATATGTTAAAAAACGATAAAGATGAATGTTTATATAATGATCTGTTATTTGACGACAGCAGTAATTTTTGTTATAACAATTGTTGCTAAATTGAATTGTTAAAGACTTTTAAATTTATTCTTAGATATTTACGAAATGTAATCATTCTAGAGTAATTCTAGTCAATGATACTACATCAATCATAGTTAAATATTTTAAAGCGTTTTAATATAATCGAAGATTATCATACTTTTATTTTAAAATAAAAGATTCAATTTAATTGTTCTATTCATCATTTAAATGAAATACAGTCACGTGAAAGTTATAAAAATGTTTTTGTATCCTTTCTTTTATGATTGTCTATGTTGTCTCAGTATCAGACTGTTAAAAGACGTATATTGTTTCAAATATTGTTCATACATCATTTTTCTCTCTTAATAAATGAATAAGAAAAAGAAAAAAGAATTTGTTTCTATTTGGTAAATATTACAAATTTTTCTCATTTGTTGGTCTCTGATTTTGTTAATTTTCCCATTTTTTTTTTTACAAGGTTTTTAAATTCGATACAATGACTCTTCATTTTAAAAGGGTATGAATCATTGAATATATTTCATCATTATGCCATAACTTTACTCAATTAGAAACTGTATATGAACATTCATATAGTTTAATAGGAGACGATAGTTAATTCAAGATGACGGATATAATTTTTTCTTTCTCTTTATATAGTATAATTTTTGGTGTTCTTATTCAATAGAATCTATTAATGCCCCTTTCTCCATTGTATTTATTTATGAAATATAAAAAACTTGAAGTTATATGACCAACATATCTTGAAATACATAAAACAATAGTTACAATCGTGTATGTATGATTTGTTCTTCATCATCATCATCGTCGTCAGTTGTATGATGATCACTAATATAAGTAATATTTTTTGATGGATTAAATCGATTAGGAACAATAAATTCAGAAGTACTAATCGTTTGATAAATGTTATCTAAAATACAAGAAAATAAATATATTTTATATACTTCATTTTAAACATACCAAGTGATCGAGCTTTTGTTTTTAATATTGGCTTTTGTGCTAAATTTATCGTACTAGTTGATGCTGTTATTGGCTGATGAGAATATCGTCGTATGGATGGTAAATGTTCGACAGTTTGTTCCCAAGTACCTAAATCAAATATAAACATAAAAAAAACAAAATATAATAAGACAATCATTCATACGAATATCCACAATATGTTGTTGTAATGCTCGTATCCAAATATTTAATGTAAATAAATCTTGAACAAAAAATTCGTCTTGATTAAAATTTCGATTATAAATTGAAAATGATAAATGATCATTATGTGATAAAATTATAGTATCCTAATTTAGTTTAAGAAGAACATAAACAAAATAAATAAGAAAATTCTTTCTTTCTTATCCTACCGTTGTAATCGGAATTGAAAAAGTACGTTGGTGTGAATAATCATTACGCATTATTTCTTCACCATGTAGAAATCCTCCATTTAATATACATGAATATGGGACACGATTAATTTCAACAATACCAGCAAATGTTGCTGATCGTGTATAACACAATGGTTGAATAAGAAAACGTGAAATAAATGCATTTTCAATAGGTAATTGCATTAAAGGATTTTCTTGTGGACGTTCCATTGTTAAACTACGAACTTTTGCCATTTTATGAACAGATTCTTTGGTATACAAGGCTCGAGCAACTAAAACAAATTTTGATTGTGGTTGATTAGATGTTTTTTGCTGAAAAAAAAAAAGAAATTGATATCATGATTGAATGTTGATGTTCACAAAAAAATAATCAAGTTACTTGAGTTGTTTCATTTTGTGGAATTCTTCTTCTTGATCGTGGTGATCCATGAATTGAATAATAACTATATCTTTCAGCAAAATCTTTTGCTGCTGTTGATAGAGCAAGACTTTTATTTAATGCATAAATTTCAAGATGTAATTCAAAATTATGTGGAACATTTTCACTGAAGAAAAAAAGAAAACAAAATTATATATTCTCAAAAAATCCTATAATTCATTATCCATAAGAATATTTACAATGTTAAGTTGTCTGTAAAAAGTATATCAGTTGATTGTTTATCGATAAATTTCATTTGTGTATCAATTATTTCACAACCAATACGTGCCAAACAAAAAACAGCAAATTTTTTTTGGTCTAAATGATGAGAAATTCTATCAAAAGAAGATCAATGATATTTAATAACTAACCTGTTTTTGCTTTTTTCATCCTAGCCCATACTAATGGTAAACGAATATCGGATAAAATAACTGTTGCTTTTGTTGGTTCAAGACTTGAAAAAAGAAAACATGAGATTTAGAGAATAAATTATATATATATATAAATTCTAGTTAATAAAATTTAATACTTGGTATCATCACGTTTAAGCAAATTCTGTTGTTTTCGTCTTATTTCACTCATAAAAGCTAACATTCGTTGTTGCGAAAGAACAAGAGCTTTGTTACATTCTATTGTTTGTTCGACTGTTGTTGCTACATTGAGTAGCTTACTGATTCCATCAATCATTTTGACTTCACAATCGATTTTACGTTCTAATTCAGGATCCTAATTGAAGACAATAAGAAAACAATCAATAAATCTATGTGAAGGTATTCTAATTAGTTCAACATACCCAAATGAAGAAGGATACCACTCGTTTTTCTCCATCAGTATGATTTGCACTCATTCTTTAATAAAATGTAAAAGAAATGTGAAATACCTTTTTACTTTTATTCTCTTTCGTCGTCTACTGATGTATGAATGACACGAAAAGAAGGTAAATATGTACTATATGATGACTAAGAATTTCGTGGCATACCTGCCGTGGGTGGAGAGAATTGATTGATTATTCACAATAGAGAAGTTTATGACTCTTTCAAGGTTTCTTATAATGCTTTATTTGTTACAATGAGAAAAAGCACACTGTTCATCTGTTAATGGACAAGAATTAGGATGAAATGCATAAAAAAAGCATGGTTTAGTTTTAAAACATGGTTTTGATGATTGTTTTTGTTTTAATGTTATTGAATTTAATTGTGGATTAGCTAATGTTATTAATTTTGTTTTTGGATCAAAATGAAGTGCATGACGATAAGATAGAATAACGGATTTTAAACCACCATTTTCAGATTTTAATGGCTCACAAAGTTCATTTGGTAGAATATCATATGCTGATGATAAAGTTAATGGATTATTATGTATTAGAAGATATTCAAAAAGAAAATGAATAATAGAAAATTTTGTTGAATAAAATTCTGGTTTAGATTTTATTGATGATGAACGATGATTCGGTATTTGAGGATCAGCATGTTCCTGATTAATATCAATACCAAAATGATTAAATAAACGAGTATGAATTGAATCACTTGAAGTAAAAATTAAAAAAAATTATATCATTAATTCATGCTTATTTTATATGTCTTACCGATTTTCAAGTTTTTTTTCATGTAACATAAAACAAATATTTTTCGTTGATGGAATACGTAATTTATCTTTTTTTATATTAAAATCAAGTACGTCGGCAATTTTTTCTATATAATTTAAATATTGTTCATATTGTGATGTATCATTATGATTATTGGTAATGAATTTTTTTCCACTAAAATCAAAGAAACAACAAGGCAATAGAAAAACATCACAAAAACATTGTCTAGCTAAAACAGGTAACCATGGTGTTAACTCATCAGAATGATTACCAATAAGAAGACTATATTGATTAGATATAATTAAATTATGTAAAGTTGGTGAATGAGGATCAATTAGTGATTCAAAATAAAGTGATGAACCAAACAGAGACCATGAACGACGACGACGCATATCAATACCAAGTCCTGGATAACCTTCAGATGAAAGTAAAAATGTTAAAAGACCATTACCACAACCTAAATCAATAAATTTAATAGGCTTCTGAAATGATGAAGAATATTGACGCCAGTAAGTTAATAAATAACTTGCAATACCTAAAAAAACAACTCTTGTAGTTGAATAAATATATAACTCATACAGTTTTGAAAAAGAATTAAGTTAAACACTAGTGATGCAAAATATACTATTCCTGATCGATTTTTTTCGCTTAATAAAAAAGACTATTGTTTTTTGAAAATAACGAATGATTGCTTTACAGGGTGTAGATGAGAACAAAGTCTCTATTCCATCCAGCCTATTCCTAAAGAAAGTAAAATTTATGAAAATAATAGTAGCCGAAAAAGCCACAAAGGAAAACATGACAAAATTAATTTCTCGTGAGTCGCTTTTTGTGATAGCTTGTGGCTAGTGTCTGTCGCAATCTGCAACTTATGCAAATTTCTATCCGATATACTTCACCACTACTTTTAGATCATTGTTTTTTTTATAGAATGGTGTTTCTATTGTGAAAAACCGAAGTTCACACATTTCGAGAAACTGTTTCTTGATTCATATTTCTTGGCTTAAGAAGAAAACTTTGTGTAAATTTTATAAAAATTTGCTACTTTCGAAAAATTGCCTTGCTTTGATAGGAAAAAAACGAATTAAAACTATTAGTTTCATCTTAGCTATCACTTGAATTTCGATCTAGTTTCGCAAAACTACATGAGTTTCTCATCACCTTGTGATAAAATTTATTGCTCACATGCTGCACTTAACCCTTTGATATTATTTAATTAACAAGTCAATATTCCTACGAATGATGTGCAACCTATTCAGTTTAAAAGCACCTCATTCATTTATAAATATCATTAACAGAATGTAATATACTATCATTCAGTCTTTCAATCAAAGAATAGTTTAAATGTCTTAATTTGCAAGGATATCAAAAGATGATTGATAAGTTCGAGATATTGAAGTCCAATATAAATTAATAAGGTAAATTAAAAAAAAATGAATGAGATATATTTTTCTGACAGAAAACGTTCGTGAGTTTAAAAGATCAAATTTTCGAGGCAACGTTTCAATAGGAAGAGTCAATAAACTTCATAACAACACTCAAACTTTATATTCCCATAGAGGCTCGAAACTGCATGCTTACAGCGATGGTCTGTGTTTTATCTGATGTATGCGTATTGCATCAAAACTACACATGCTGCTTTTGAGTGGTGACGTAATCTGAAGAAGAGCTAGGTGAATTAAGCTGCTAGTTAAACTTTGCCAGAAATCAATATCGAAATGATAAATCAAACGATGGAAACAATTCTCGAAAACATAGAAGCTGGTTTCAAAGTCTTCCTATAATTTTTGAAAAACACGAAGACTTTTTTGAAAATAGTGACATATATTATAAAAGCTACCTGCTGTGTCGATGAAAATATCATTACTGACTCTACATGTTTTTCATTTTTGATGAAATAACAAATAAGCTGTGATGCAATTGATTCTTTTTTGTCAAAACACGACCGAAATGGAATGTTGAAAAATACGCATCGATATTTGATCCCTTCTTTTCCAACAATAGACACACAACAGAAACGAAACAACAAATAAAGTTTCAGTGTTTTGTGATAAAACATTTTTGTTGCAAAGCTTTTGTAATAGAATATATTCGTTTCGTATCTTCTTTCATGAATTATTACATGAGATATTATAGAATATGATTGCATATCATACTACTGAGAAAATCAGTGCTCAAGCTAAAATGGATTTCGTCAGTTCGCAATACTTTTGCCTCAGATACTGTCACCAATATTTTATGATATATTCATTTTCTCCTCATGGGCCATGGAGAGTATCTCTACAAGGCCAATCCTAAAGCAGCATTAGTATGAAACTTGGCTGAATTTAAGATAGTTATTCTTCTCCTTTCTTTCATACCGCCTGAAATAGATTGTGATTCATACTTTTTTTTTCATTGACAGTCATTAATCGTGGGTGGTAATTCATAAAATGGAACATATGTTAATGGATTTCTTTCTTGTTTTACAATAGTAGCAGCCTCATAGTGTTCCAAATTTTACTCCTGCTGAGATAGCACTAACAGCATTTTATACTTGTAAATATTTTGCTTACATACTTGTATGTGTATCAAATACTATAATAATAATTAAATGACATAGAGTTTGTACTCTAAAAAACCAAAGAATACGATAGTTTTTTGAAAAAATTTTATTCAATTTAGTTTTAATTTTAATAATCTGAGCATGGATTTGTGGAAAAAAAAGATCCTACATAGTTTTTCGTGTTTTTTCAAAAGAAAACGTAGTATGCCATTATTTTCCATAAGTTGACGTAGAATTAGACAAGTCAATTCAATGTTGTTTTAAATTTTTCTCAAGTGAAGTCAAATCCACTCGACTCACACATCATTTCTATCATTCTTTTTGATGCACATCCATAACTAATCTAGCTTGAAAACTATTTATTCGTATCTTTTCACTAAATAAAATACTTAATGATTCTTCGTAGAGTCTAACGATAGACATATGTCTAAGAGTCGCTGAATCAACTGGAGAAGTTTCACAGATCTATCGAAGATAACTATTACACTCCAAAATAGTTAACTTATGCAAAAATACACTTTACAGATTCTACTTCTGCTAGAATACGAAAAACCTTTACCGCTAGTTGATTCAGTCTAATATATAAAGATAACTTTCGAAAAACTCAAAACTGGGCAGGTCAAGTATTTTTGCACAAAAAGAACACAGCCTACGATTTGAAATATTATTACAGAACCCTACAGATGCCTCTTCGAGATAATCGGTGGTCTATATAGTTACAGAAAACTCTTTATGAAAAGTGCTTTTAAATTCCTATATTCTGATAGAGTGACACTATCAAAGTTAGCAGTTATAAAATTTACCTGAAACTAGAACTGCAATTTCGACTACTAAAAATGACAAAAAAAAACGATTCTGATGCAGTTCCAGATTTCAGTTTTTTTATGTTATTGCCAAACTCTCGTCAATATAGACATTACTAACATAAATATTTTTGCATACCTAAATCTTCAAAAACATGTTTTTGAGGATCAGTACTTTCACACCAATTTTCTGTTAAATATTTTCCATATTTTACTTTTAATCGTTCATATTCATGTTGATATTCTTCAATTGATATTAATTTTAATGTCGTATTTTCTGTACTATTTTCAATATTTGATTGACACCATTTAATAAATTTTGGCATGAGATTATCTTTTAACCATAGAACTTCTTTTTCTGTTTTATTATCGACTATAACTAATCGAATTTTATTTTCATTGATTAATAATTCAAAACGATATGCAAATACTTGAACACTACATGATTTATTATTCATTCCATTCGATACTATAGGTCGAAATTCAATTGACATATCATTCGATAGAATATATTCATCTTGATCATGATAAATTCTTGGATTTTTCGATATTAATGTTCGTTTATCAACAATAGTTTTTCCTGTTGAATATTTACGATCATTACGATCAAGTGCCAAAGCAAATCGAACAGTTGTTACACGTTTATTAACAACATGTGGTTTATATAAATAAATCGATATTGCTGATAAAAAATGTTCTTTATCAACATTTATATTTGATACATCAAACTCCATAAAATCTATTAATATATATATATATATTTAAATTTCATTTTCTTTTGTTAAAGTATAAGAGACAAAGAGAATGTGCTTTATTATTATTTACACAAACATTACAAGTACTTAGTACTATCAAATAGATAGTAAGGACGGCGCTTTTTGTTATTAGTTTTTTTCATTCACATTAGCGACCATTTGAAAAAAAATCAGACAAAATGCAAGTCAAGACTCGTTTTGATCAGAAAATAACAGAATAAAGACAAAAAAAAAAGGACACAAAGAAAAAACAGATTATTTTTTTTACATAATTAGATCTGGCAAGAAATCATATCTAAAGACGGAAGATTCAGAAAGTATGCGCACGTCGTTAAATCTTAATGTTGTTGTTGTTGTTGTTGTAACATTTCAACAAAAGCAGCATTTAAATCAAATGAATTTTGTGTTGATGGAACCATAGTTGGAGGGAAATTATTATTATTTGTTGGTGAATTAAGTCGTTGTGTTGCTTGTAAAATTTGATGAGGATCAAATAACATTTGACTTTTAGGTGGTCGACCAGGACCACGTTTTTTTGCTGCCATTAATGGCATATCCATTCCACCAACTCCAATGTCGAGAGGTAATTTTGTAGCATTACTCATTGATGATGCTGGTAAACTATGTCGACTTTGACCGGCAGAACTTTTAACCATCGATGCTGGAGCTCCACTAAAATAAATAATTTTAAGTAATTAACTATTCTCGTTGCCTTGTTAGAAGTAGAATAAACAATCTTGTTAATCTCATATTCTGTAAGAATTAGTATTATACCATCTATCACTATTAGGGTTATGTTACTATTCATTAGATGTGAATTAATCAGGAGTTTGGAGATTCAAAGCGATAATTCTAGATGACACAAAAAATTTGAAATGAACTCTAGCGACTACAATCGACTGAACAAGTACTTTTGATTACAAAAATCGATATAGACCAACTTTTCTTTCGGTGACATTTTTCCCTTTGCCACAGCGCAACCTGTATGTCGTTACAGGTGTGTCTCATTCAAAAGAAATTCAATTCATATTTTATGATCTCTTCAAAATGACAGATGCTTTCACCAGAATCAAAATACTAGACAATGAAGTTTTTATAAAAGAAAGAGTGGATCGATCGATCCGTAACTAGATTTTCGATTGCTTTTCCAGATAGGATAGACTGATAATTCAGTAGAAACTGTAAAAATTTTGCATGGAATGTCTTCATATAAAAATATGTTGGACTTGGACTTGGCTTTATCTTAGTTATATAACAGTACTCCAATCGTAATCTGGAACTTCATGCTAGCTCTTTACTGCTGTGCATCAGCCAGGCAGGGCTGGAGAACGTCTTTTCTTCCTTAGTTTAAACCGGCAAAAGTCCCTTTTTGTAACGATTACTCGCAAGACTGTAAAATGATTTGCACGAGGTTCGACATTTCCTTCATCGTCAGTAACCCTATCGATAGCAAATAGATATGTCCATGACGATATATCCGATGATGTCTTGGTGATTTAGCAACTATACACATCTCTCATCACGAGTACGATCTTCATGTGAGAAAACTTGAATACTAAGATTCTCTTCCATGCAAAGTCTTGTCACATAAGTGTTAAATATCGATCATCGTCATGTTTTAGACGATTAAAGGCTGACGGAACGTATTCTAAAATTTCCACATAAATCCATCTTGAATACATTTGTCTAAGTATTATTTATTTATCTCATCTACACTTACTTTCTTGGTACGGAAGGTGGTGGCATTGATAAACCTGCTTGTTGTCCAAGCATAGATGCTAATGCTGATTGAAATGCGGATGTAGATGGTCCTCCAGCATTTGAATTCATTCCATTTTCAATAGCTGCAAAAAGTTGATCATATGGTGATGTTAATGATGATGGATCAAGATCAAGCGAAGAAAGACCAGCTAGTCCTCGATCAGTAACATATTTAGGTGGTCGACCACGACGTCTTGGAGCAAAATTTCCACGTTCAAAAGGTGAAGGACTTGTTGATGTATGAGATGTAGGTGGAACTATAGTTGTATTTGAATTCATGCCTGGTGATTGAACTTCTGGTTTCGATGGACGATTTGTTCGTTTAGGTATTGCATCGGATTGTGTTAAACCAAGTAGTTGTTGTTTTAATAAAGATGAATTAACTGCTGCAAGACTATCCGTTTCATTTGATGCTGATGACATCATTAATTGTTGTGTCATTTCCCATAAAAGTTGTTGTTGCATTGATAAAGATGTTGATGATTGTGATGATGTTTCAGATGTTTTTTGTCGTTTAATTGCTGATGGAGAAGAATATGATGATGATGATGAAGGAGATAATTTATGTTTAACAACTGATTGTTGAGAATTTACTGGTGTTGTCTTAGTTAGATCATTGAGTATTTTTGAACGTTCAGCTAATTTCGATGATAACGACGGCATAGATGATTGAGATTTACTACTTCAATAAAAAATAAAAATGCGTCATTCAATAATTACTATTAAATAAATAATTTTTGTGTTGCGAACGAAAAGTCTATTATAACAGCCATTGACAAATATACAAACAAAAGCATTTCTACTGATTCTTTTTCTATTTGAAAATGTACTCAAAACACATATTTAAAATAAATTTTCTAACCGACAAATCACTCATGTATTAACAGTTTAAGTCATCTTTGAACCTATATCACATAGTTTAACATTCACTAACTTTTTCACTCGAACAATTATTTTACAAGTTGTTCTAGACTACAGAAATCGATAGGATTTATGAACTATAAAAATTTAACTTCAAACAATCATTCGAGAATTGATCAAAATGAATATTCGTAAAATCATCTTGAAACTTCAAAACATTTTCAATATCCTACAAATCAATTTGAGTAGTGAAAAAACGAATATTCGAGTAAGAGATCAAAACAATCAGTCCCACAAGTTTTAAAAGCCGCAGTTAGTGATGAAAAAAAGTGAAAGAAGGTTTGGCTGTCCAATGTATACTGCTTTTTTTCAAAGAAAACAGTTGTCATCATTAGAAGGCAATAAAAACTGAATTTCCAGTTTCGACTATAAACTTAACACAAATGAAATTCTCAACAACATCAGCTTATTGTGAAAAACCTTTTGATAAGAAAACTTATTATTCTTCTTATACTAATACTTTAGTCAATGAAATTAATACGATGAGCTAGTATCATTGAAAATTTGAAGTCGAAACTCAATATCTCAACAAAAAACTCATACGATCAACACATATTACGGATCCTCGTAAATCAAAACTTTTATGTAAGAGACGATATCAAAATCTTATCAAACGCTCATCACTAAGCAAAACATTTTGCCATTTTTTCAAATTGAAAAGTTCTGTTGAACGCCACATAGTATATTATTTTGAGAAATTTCTCTTCGGCGAGTTAATATGTTATTAAAGATTTCAGCTTTTACTTTCGCGTCACTATTATGACGCTACCAAATCACTGCACGAATGGTACTTTTTTTGGTTCTTTCAAAAATAATATCCTTAGTCTCGAATAAGAACTGATATAAAACTCTACTCATAGACCATAGTTTTCAATTGATCGCAAAAAAATTTCACTCATTGAAGAAAACTGATTCAAACTATAAGCGAAAAATAACCTTGAGCAATTGAAAGAAAAATTTTCATCCGAAAAATATTTTCAGATTTATCATTTATTTACCTAAGACCATTTGAATTATGTTTTCCATTAGTTATTTTTTTAATTCCATTCATTTGTTGTTTATGATTTAAATGTCCATTAGTTTTATTTATAATTTTTCTTCGTTGTTCTTTAACATCTTTAACAATAATTGTTACTATATCAGCTAAAATATCATCAACAATTTCTAAAATATCTTCATTTTCTTCATGATAATTACAATGATTATTATTATTATTATTATTATCAACAAAATGTTTTGATAATAAATTTAATTGAAGATAATTTTGTTCAATTTGATTTTGATGATAAATATCTTCAACATCATTTTCATCTTCTTGATCTGATGTTAATATAGGTTGTTCATGATGATGAACACTTGTTGATGTTGATTTTATTAATGATACTGGTAAAAGTCTTTGTGTTGGTGGTTTTATTATTTCAGGTGATAATTGTAAACGACGTGGAACACCTTTACGACGACCACCACGTCCATTTTGTAATGGTTGTTGTTGCTGTTGTTGTTGAATTACATCTAAAGGTTGTTCATTTTCATCTTCATCACTTTCATTATCATTAGAATAATGCTTCCCGTTTGAAATAGAAAATAAGGATAATTCATCCATATAAACAACAACAACAAAAAGAAAAAAAGAATCTAAAAAAAACAAAGGTGAAAAAAAAAAAGAAAGACGAAATTTTATTGTCTGTACTAACCGACCGATCGATAAATGTATGTGAAAAGATAGAAAAATATTTTTTTGTTGCTTTTTTTTTTTTTTGTCCGTCCGACCTGCCGCGTCAGTCAATCACATATTCATTCATTTTATTTATTTCTTCTTCTTTTCTCTCTATTTCGAAACAATGGACTCAAAATTCCATCTATCAAAAATAGAGATTTAGTGACATCTAGCTTTGCAAAAATATGAAAGTATTTTGTTTTCTATTCCAAATAAAATTTTATTTAATTGAAAAAAAGATTTTTTTTTTTCTTTACAGAATTTATTAGTCTTTATTTATGAGTATTTTTATAAATTGTAACCAAGGTTACCATAGTTTTAAATGGCACAGATACATTTGAATATTTGAAAAGTTTGTGCTTTTTTTTGGTGACTATAACTATGGATCAAACTTCACGTCCATTGAATGTTTCACCAGAGTTTCTGCTTTATGCGGAAAAATATGCTCTATTTGAATTATTTCAGGTAAAAAGAAAAATTCATTAACATCTGAAAATTTGTTATATAGATATTCGAATGTACAAATGATCAACAATATAAAAACTTTGGTTTTAAGTTGATCGAATGTTGAGAATAATTT